GAGAGGGATTCTGGGCGGATTCATGGCGAGGGCTGGAAAACCCAGAGAGGGATTCTGGGCGGATTCATGGCGAGGGCTGGAAAACCCGGAGAGGGACTCTAGGCGGATTCATGGCGAGGGCTGGAAAACCCGGAGAGGGACTCTGGGCGGAGTCATGGCGAGGGCTGGAAAACCCGGAGAGGGACTCTAGGCAGAGTCATGGCGAGGGCTGGAAAGCCTGGAGCGGGACTGCAGCAGTGGAAAGGAAAGTTGGACTCTCTTAAGTTATCCTTTTATTTCTTGTCTTATTCTAAGTTAATGCGAATGGCGCCATATATGTATGGTGAAGGTACACACTTTTCACTGTAGTTTTACTTTGAATAATGTCAATAAATGATTCAATTCAATTCAACATAATATGAGACAGGCATTACCTAAAGAAGCTTGTGAAAAAAGAAAACAACTTTCTTGATGAATCCCACATTTCAATAAGAATACAAAAACTCATGCATGCAGCAATATCTGCTGCAGCCCATTTTCACAGTTTATTCAATGTTGCCAAACAACATCACAGTTTTGACTGACAAAACGTGCATTAAACCCGGGTTTGCCGGGAAGGAAATGAGCGGGGTGAGAGGTAATGAGAAAACAGGAGAACTCCCCAACATTGTCTGCAGTCATTCTTGTCCTGAATGCTTTCTCTAGTATTCTTCTCGAATATAGAAAGGCTAAGTTTCATGAAGAACGTGGAACTAAATTGCTCATTGCTCAAAGCTCAAAGTGATGCTTCCGAGCTGCAGTTAATAAGCGAATTCCTTATCCTCTAGAAAGTGAATTCAAGAGGGCTGCCATTAATTTTATCTTTATTTTTGCGAATGCCATTTATTCCGTTAAAATTCTGAAAAAAAAACATTTTGAAATATAGTTCATCCACCCTCATCAAAATGAAAATCTGAAACCACTTAACAGTAACTATTTCCCTACATTTTCACAGCAGATCAAAATGTGGTACTGCCTACTCACCGGTGGTTTGAGTGGGCTGGAGTCAGTGAGAACCATTGACTTTGTCTGGCTGAGACGATCACAGTTAGCAGCTCCACTTTTCACTCTCCGCTGTACTGCCGAAGGACTAGCCTGGGATGAGGAGGGAAAATGCTCCGTGGTGGGTGTTTGCTGGACATTTGCTTTTGGTTGTGATGTAGGTCCAACCTTTGGAAAGAAATAAGGAATTCAAGCTTAGAAGCTGAAATGAATTCTCGGTAAACGTTAATTATCTGAATATCTATAATGCATCAGAATGCTTCCTGCCAATTCATACTTTGTCTTATTGACTGCCCGATAATAATTTGAAAATCACATCAACTTCCTTTTATCTCCATTCAGTTTGATCAATGTGCCAGAATTTAACCATCATAATGAGTTTGTTAACTAGGGAGTGTTGCTGAACAAAGAGACCTTGGATCCAGGTTCATAGTTTCTCGAAAGTAGAGTTACAGGTAGACAGGGTAGTGAAGAAGGCATTTGGCATGTTTACCTTTATTGGTCAGTGCATTGAGTATAGGAGTTAGGAGGTCATGTTGTAGCTGGACAGGTCATTGGTTAGGCCACTTTTGGAATTTTGTGTTCAATAGGTCAGCACACGACACCAGGTTATAGTCCAACAAGTTTATTTGAAAACACAAGCTTTCAGAGTCTTACTTCTTCTTCAGGTGTTAGTGAGAGAGGTCGTATCAAACACAGAATTTATAAGTAAAAGATCAAAAGGTCACACTGCTGATGAGGATGTACTAAACAAACCTAAGATCCTGTTAAATCTTTAATCAGTTAGAAGGTTTTAATTGATTAATATGTATATGTAAATCCCTGAATTCCTTTGAAGTCATGGTCCTGAGAGAACTAAAGGTTTTATCAGTGTAAAGAAGAAGTGACATTTTAGGTTTTTAGGTCAGACAATGCATGTTAGTTGTCAGGCCTTGTTTAGAATCTTTGTGTTTTGGTTTGGAGTCAGACTGGTTTTACTTCTAAAGTAGGAATTTATAAAATGCCACATTGACTGACATTGCACACATGGTGTGCTTTTTGTTAAAAACTGAATGTATCTGCAAATACAAATTCACCCCACATGTTCACGTGTGTGTGCGTGTGTCTGTGTGTGTGTGATGGAGAGTATGTATGTGTATGTGAGCGACAGTGAGAGTGTATGCGAGGAGGAGTGAGAGTGTATGTGATGGAGAGTGTGTGTGTGTATGTGGGGAGAGTCAGAGTGTGTGTTTGTTTGTGTGTGTGTGTGTGTCTGTGTCTGTGTGTGTTTGTGTGTGTGTGTGAGAGAGAGATGGAGAGTATGTATGTGTATGTGAGGGACAGTGAGAGTGTATGTGAGGAGGAGTGAGAGTGTATGTGATGGAGAATGTGTGTATGTATGTGGGGGAGAGTCAGAGTGTGTGTGTGTGTGTGTGTGTCTCTGTGTGTGTGTGTGTGTTTGTGCGTGCGCACTTGCATGTGTGGGGTCTGTGTGAGGGAGACAGAGAGAGTGTGTATCCACCTCATCTCTCTGCTATAGGAAAGGTATTGTGAAACTTGAGAGGATTCAGAAAAGATTTACAAGGATGTTGCCAGGGTTGGAGGATTTGCGTCATAGAGTCATAGAGTAACACAGCATGGAAACAGACCCTTCGGCCAAAACTGGTCCATGCTGACCATGGTGCCCACTCATCTACTTCCAACTGCCTCCATTAGGTCCATATACCTCTCAACCCTTCCTATCCATGTACCTATCCAAGTGTTTTTTAAATGTTGCTATTGTACCTGCCTCAACCACTTTCTGTGGCAGCTCATTCCATGCACGCACCACTCTCTGCGTGAAGAAGTTGCCCCTCAGGCCCTTGTTAAATCTTTCACCTCTCACCTTAAACCTATGCCCTCTAGTTTTCAACTCCCCATCCCTGGGAAAAAAGACTATGTGCATTCATCCTATCTATGTCCGTCATGATTTTATACACCTTACTAAGGTCATCCATAAATCTTCTATATTCTAAGGAATAAAGTCCTATTCTGGCCAACCTCTCCCTACAACTCAGGCCTACTAGTCCTGGCAACATACTCGGAAATCTTCTTTCCACACTTTCCAGTTTTACTTTGTCTTTTCTATAACAGGGTGACCAAAACTATACACAATAATCCAAGTGTGGCCTCACCAACTGTAACATAACATCCCAACTTCTATACTGAATGCCTCGACCGATGAAGGCCAGCTTGCTAAATGCCTTCTTCACCACCCTGTCTACATGTGACGCCGTTTTCAATGAACTATGTACTTTTACTCCCAGGTCCCTCTGTTCCACAATAACCCTCAGGACCTTACCATTTACTGTGTAAGTCCTACCTTGGTTTGACTTTCCGAACATTTATCTGTATTGGATTGCATTTGCCAATCTTCAACCTACTACCCCATCTGATCAAGATCCCTCTGTAATTTTTGATAACTTTCTTCGCTATCAACGATACCTCCTAATTTTGTATCATCTGCAAACTTGCTAATCATGCCTTGTACATTCACATCCAGATCACTTATGTAAATAACAAATAACAAAGGTCCCGGCACTGACCCCTGTGGCACATCACTACTCACAGGCCTCCAGTCCAAGAAACAACCTTCATCCATCACCCTCTGCTTTCTACCATTGAGCCAATTTTGAATCCAGTTAGCTAGCTCTGCCTGGATCCCATGCAACCAAGCCTTCATGACTAGCCTGTCATGTGGGACCTTGTCAAAGGCCTTACTAAAGTCCATATAGACAACATCCACTGCTCTACCCTCATCTATCCTCTTGGTTACCTCTTCAAAAAAACTCTAAATGATCTGTAGACATGACTTCCCACGCACAAATCCATGCTGACTATTCCTAATCAGACCTTGACTATCCAAATGTTGGTTGATCCTGTCCCTCAGTATCCTCTCCAATAACTTGCCTACCACTGATATCAGGCTCACTGGCCTGTAGTTGCCTGGCCTGTCTTTGCTAACTTTCTTAAACAATGGAACAACATTAGCCACCTTCCAGTCTTTTGCAACTCCACCAGTGGCTAAAGATGAAGCAAAAATCTCTGCAAGGGCCTCTGCAATTTCTTCGCTAGCCTCCCACAATGTCCGAGGATGGACTTGATCAGGTCCAGGGGATTTATCCATCTTACTGTGATCTAAAGCTGCAAACACATCCTCTCTGGTAATATGAGACAACAAGGTGCAGGGCTGGATGAACACAGCAGGCCAAGCAGCATCATAGGAGCAGAGAGGCTGACGTTTCGGGCCTATTTTATAGTCAAGTGGTCCTCCCAATTTACTGCGCTAGTAACAGCTTGTCATCTCCAGAATTATCGTCAGAAAAAGGGTCTAGGCCCGAAACGTCAGCCTCTCTGCTCCTATGATGCTGCTTGGCCTGTTGTGCTCATCCAGCCCTGCACCTTGTTGTCTCGGATTCTCCAGCATCTGCAGTTCCTACTCTCTCTGGTAATATATATGCCGTCTAAAACATCCCCACTTGTTTCCCTTATTTCCTTAGCAATCATGATTCTCTCCTCAGTGAACACTAAGGAAAAATATTCAGTAAAAATCTCCCCCATCTCCACACATAGACAGCCATGCTGATCTTTAAGGAGACCTATTCTCTCCCTTTTACTCTTAATATACCTGTAGAACCTCGTGGGATAATCTTTACCCTTATCTACCAGATCCATCTCCATGTCTTCTTTTTGCTCTTCTGATTTCCTTCTTAAGTGTGCTCCTACACTTTTTATCATCATCTCGACTGTAGTCACTTGAGTCTGATAGGTTAAATCCAATGTATGCCTTCTTCTTTTTCCTGACTTTGACTCCAAATGACTTTTTCAGAACTCAAGAAGACTCACATTGAAGTCGAAACATTAACTTTCTTTTTCCTCCACAGATGCCGCCAGGCATGCTGGGTTTCCCTGGCATTTTGTGTTTTTAACTTGTCATTGGGTGTTTGTGTTCCTGCCTTTTCAGAATCTCCTACATTCAACATTCTCTGGTGATGCAATCAGAGTTTGAGTTATAGGGAGAGGCTAAATAGGCTGGGGATATTTTCACAGGAGCGTCGGAGGTTGATGGGTGACCTTACATAGGTTTAAAAAATCATGAGGGGCATGGTTAGGGTGAAGAGCCAACATCTTTTTTTTCCAGGGTAGGGGAGTTCAGAGCCAGAGGGTATACTATAAAGTGAGAGGGGACAGATTTCAGAAGGACCTGAGGGGTAACTTTCTCATACAGAGGGTGGTGTGTGTATGGAATGAGCTGCCAGAGGAGAGGCTCCTACAATTACAACATTTAAAAGGCATCTGGATGGGTAACTGAATAGGGAGGGTTTAGAGGGATATGAGCCAAATGCTGGGAAATGGGACTAGATTAATTTAGTATATCTGATTGACATGGATGATTTGGACTGAAGGGTCTGGTACAATGTTGTACATCTCTATGACTCTACTTTGCTGAATATTAGAAGGGTGAACATTTGAATGCTTCAGATCAAAAGACATTCAAAACAGGTTTTCCTTTCCCTGAACCTGGAAGGATTGCTTCACCAAAGAATGTTGAATGTAGGAAATTCAGAAAAGGAAGGAACACAAACCCCCAATGACAGGTTAAAAGCAGAAAATGCTTGGGAAACTCAGCATGCCTGGCACCATCTGTGGAGGAAGAAAATAAGTTAATGTTTCAACTTCGATGTGGGTCTTCTTCTGTTCTGAAAAAGTCATTTGGACTCAAACCATTAACTTTCCTTTTCTTGTGACAGATGCTGCCACAGCTGCCGAAATTGTCTGGCACATTCTTGTTTTTATTTCAGATTTTCTGCAGCTGCAATACTTTTATTTTATAATCATAATTAAGTAATTCATTTGCTTTTCATCTATTAGATGAAAAACTGAAGGTTAGAAATTTGGCCTGATATTATTTTATAGTCAAGTGGTCCTCCCAATTTACTGCGCTAGTAACAGCTTGTCATCTCCAGAATTATCCTATTATTTCTCATCCTGATTAACCAATTCTCAATCCATACAAGTATACAACAACTGTAGATATTGGCATATATGTACAACCTATTACATAAGAACAAAATAATGGCACTGCAGAATGCCCCAACATAAGTTTTCTAATTTAGCATTGTTCCGTTTTAACATCACAGATTTAATAG